GGGAAAAGAAAACCAGCAATAGCACGAAAGCAAATTCGGTAAACGTGCGTATTCCAAATTGAGCGAAGCCGGATTGTTGTTCTTTAGAATTATGCTTAATTTATCTTAACATAATTTCTAAGAGATGGAGGCAAACTTGAAATTATGCGAGTACCAGGACACATCTGAAGTCGGAACAAATAGCGGTTGCACCACGAGAACCTCAATTAAGATTTACAGAAATATAAAAACATATCATCTGTAGAAACAATAGAATGTACCTCAATCTTCCTCATTTCAGCTTCAATCGTAGCTTTTTGATGATTTTCCCATGCTTGGATCTTGATCTCTTCTCGTTTAAACCTGGGAATTAATTTTCTTTTAGATAAAAATAGCAAGAGAGTAAAGATAGAAATAAATACAAATGCTTAATGAGCTTTCTCGAGCAATTAAAGGAGAACAACTCTGAAGAGCAACATGAGTCTATTTGCACACATACCAATGCTTAACCAGATTCCTTAAGCAATTAAAGAAGAACAACTCTAAGGAGTAACATGAGTTTATTTGCACAATACTACCTAGCAAGATACTTGGTCTTTTCTGCTTCTTCCCAGGCTGCTGCACGCACTTCGATGACACTTTTGTCTGGCTGATCCTTCGACACAGTCATAGTTGAAATTGATGCATCAGTATCTTCTTCCTTGCTGGCCCATGCAGCTATGTTTGTCTTGCCCAATTTTTGGCCTAGCACCATTATTTCCCTCCTAGTTTTCCTTTGTAGCTCCTTTTCGGACATCTCCTTATCGTTCAAATCGTCATGGCAGTCAGCTGAGTCAGTCTGGGTTGAAACTGGAGCTCTTCTTTGTGGAGTTGCTGGCCGGGAAGAAGTTGGGCTGTAAAGTGGTGAAGTTGCTCCCGCGGGAGTTCCTGTGCGAGAAGGCTCCTGACTTGCAATAGGAGTCATTTCTGTGCCCATATCTCTCATGGATACAGACCTAACAGTTGGTGCGGGTGTCATAAATGCAGTTGCACTCTGAATAGATGTGGATGAATCATGCCAACTAAGATTCACTGCAGAAAGTCACATATAACGATGACTCCATTGTCACATGTAGGCTGAATCATTGAATAAAATGACAACATAACATGGATGGAAAATCCAATAATTGCAAGACATGCATTTACAATCGCCTAAATTATACAAGACTATGCAAGTTTTCCTATCAAGGTAAAGATCTCTTTTGAATAAAAAAATGAAAACGATTTCATTTTTGAAAATTGCAACTTTAACTTGACCTGCTATCAAGAATGTGCCACTTGGGTTTATCACTCAGTATCTTGGATTCATTTTTGCTGTGTCACTATACGGGAAACATAGGATTTTGGATCCTGAAACAATTACTTTGCACCACAACTACAAACAAGTTACATACGGAACTTGACTATGACAAGCAAAACACAAAAGAATAAGAAAATTAAAGCAGGTACTTTTTCAGAAGCTTTCTATTCTTTTACTGCAAACATGAGTAGTGGTCAAACGTGCTAAGTTGCTGAGTATTCGTCAAGATGCAAGTTGACAATGATGCAGTACTCGATAATCCATTTGGTTTGAAAGGCAGTTGATGGAAGATGCCCTCAGTCTACAATGATCACCTATTGATTCCATCTATCTAGTCCTAGAGATTCATCAAGGACGTCTTGTAAGAATGAAGATAACATATATTATTGAGTTTGACAATTGCCAGCATTTCTTTTTCTATGTTTGCACTCTGTTAATCAGATAAACTGCCGTTTGATATGTATGATAGCAAAGAACCTGACCTACCAGCAGTTATCATGGCTACTGTGATGGTATGAAATCTTCTACGCCAGGGCACGCTATAGGATGATTTGTAAGGTAACTCATTGATTATTCAACTAGAGATGGATAACCTTTATGGAAGCAAGAGTTCATGTGGCGAAACATGGAAATTAGGGTCAAAAGCTGGCTCAAAAATAAGTCAACATGATTCATACTGTAACATTGTATAAATCTTGGATGGAATGCCATATCTGAAACTTCTATGACTTCATATGCTGCTAGGCACTAATTTCAATGCTGATGCTTACACATCTTATGATCTACATCAGAACAACACATAATAAGATATACCAGTTACAGCTTTATTCTATTTTTTTCCCTTGATTCCTTTTAGTGTTAAAACTTGAATCTTGACATGTTTCTAACGGCTTAGAAGAATTATAAATATTAACTGAAGAAAAGAAAAAACAATCAATTAAATATAACAAAGAACATTTCATTTACTTTACCAATAACCAACAATCAAGATTAGTATAAAGGTTCAAGACTTGAACTGGATCTGACATGAATACAGAAAAGAAAGGAAGAAATTGAAGAAATGACTCAATTTCCATTGGATATAAAAATTCACGAAAAAAAGTTAAATAGGATGATGGATTTCTGTAAATAAGGGTCACTTATAAATCAGAATGTTGGGAAGATTAAAAGTAAGAAGCTCAAAAAGGGAGTGCAGCTGAATCTGGATGCTGAGATGGATCAGTGGCATTTAGAAATAATCAAAAAGAAGCTTGCACCTACATTAAGTTACTGAAAACAATTAACAGCTCAGTTTACCTCTCCTTATGGAACTGTGCTACAATCTTTCTGTCAGACACATTCAAACAGTACTCATGAAGTGTTGACAAAGGCACTTTAGTGCAGAAATGCCAAGTTTGAGCACCATATTTTTTAAATAGCTCATGGATGGCATTGGAAGGGTGATCCTAAAGGTGGAAATGTTAGGACAACACCGAAGCCAAAACAAAAAACCAAAGCAGTAAAATTGTACATATCTTCACAAAGAACGGTGGTAAGGCTACAACATATTTCCATGATGTGGTAAAGTGTGATTTACAAGTGGTAAAAAGAAATGAAACTATCCAGTATAAGTTACGGCTAATGTTTATCATGGGGCTAGCGAAGCAAAATTCTGAAATTTAATGAGCTTTGGAAGTAAGGAACAAGACAAGGTGGCAAGATACAATGGTGGGTATAGGATTATTGGGTCAACAGTGATAAATATTTGTCCTAATGAACTCTGTTTAGATGTTCTATACTACAGCAATTAACTGTTTAATTCTGCCCTTAGAATGTTTGTTTGAAGTAGAGGATTACAAAAAGTAATGACTCAGCATTTCATGACATAATTTCCATATAATAGTTTCCAAGTGTGTGTATCATTATCTGATATTTCCATAGAATAGTTTACCAATGTACGTATCGTTATCTGATAGCTATCACTAGGGCACAAAAAAGTACTTTGGTTGATATGACTAAACCGATAATCACAAAGCAAGCAAACAAGGTACAAATAAGGTCTATGATCATTGGGCCAGCAATGATAGATAAATGTGCTAACAAACACTGTTCAGATGCTCAATTCTACAGTAATTCACTATTTAATCCTGTCCTTAAAATGCCTGTTCGAACTACATGATTACAAAAAGTAATGACTTAGCATTAGACTAATAATTTCCATAGTTCACAAATGTGTGTATCATTATCGGATAGCCATCACTGGGGAATAAAAGAGGTACTCTAGTTGGCGTTACTGAACCGAGAGTTACAAGGCGAGTAAACTATTTACTGAAACACCAAAAACTTGTTGTTCTTTGTTTCAATCTATGGCTGATCCTCCTAAGTTTTTCTCATTCTCCAAGCACACAATACCTGATTTGTTCATTGATAGTTTGCAATTAAAAGCGATAGTGCATGCGTACCAGTAGGATAATGACTTGGCAACCAAATAGGAATGCAAATGTTTCGGATGATGGTATAGAATACGATGCAACAACATAACACTATGAGACTGAATCATAAAAGGATGGAGTAGACATGATAAAGAACCTGTCAGCAGCAGAGGTAAAAGCTAACCAATCATTTTTATGAAACAGAAGCTGTAGAATGGCAAGGAAGACGAGCAAAGACGACGAGAAGAGATCGAAATTACCAGCAGAATCAACCACAGGATTCTCCACCACAACCGTAGGCTTCACCCCTAAATCCAAACGAGGATGAGGCTCTCCAACCCAATTCACGCTCTTAATCCCACTGATTTCCTTCTTCGCTTGGCTCCCGTCCACCCTCTTAGTGTCTGCTTCCTCTACGACATTCAAAACAACCTTCGCCGCAGCCTGTCGGCTGACGTATCCCGCCAAACCTCCCCTCCTCGCCTGCCCTCCACCGGCCTTACTCCCACCTCGGTTCGATGTGGGGCTCGCAATCCACTTCTGTGCATCGTCCCATTTCGACGGTGCCGGCTTCGAGAACGGCGGCACGAACGCTGCTGCAGCCGTCAACCGGTGCGGCGGCGTTCGCTCCGCCTTCTGGAACTCGAAGCCAGATGACACATTCTCCGCTTCGAAAGAGTCCTCTTCTTGTGACTTAACCCTCGGAAACCCCATCGCGTGATCTCTCGATCTGTGGCCGCTCGCCATCTCCGACGAGGTGGAGCACTCTACATCCTTGCAGCTATCCGCCGCACTGGCCCCTGCAAGATTTCACCAAAGCATTCTATTAATCGAAGCGTAAAAATCTCGTCTTTGTTCAACCAATACAAGAAAGGAGAGATCTTTACTCCCGTCATCGAACTCAGAGGGTTCGGATCTCAAAGAAGTCTTCGATTCGAGCTCCTCCTCTTCCTTCCTCCTCTTCTCCACTCCAAGCAGCATCGCCCGCAACTTCTTAGGGGAGAATCCACCGCTCTGAACCGCAAAACACCAAATTTAAACCACAAATCCAACTAAAACCATAAGAAATCCCCATCCAAGCCCCCAAGAAGTGATCTTTACGGTAGACTCCATCTCTGGTCATTTCAAGCTCGAATGATTACAAGAAAAGGCAACGAATCGGAGCGGAAGCAACACGACGGGACGAAAAGTTCCGCAGCAAAATCGATGCGGCGGGGGACCCATGTAGCAGGTTTGGTTTGGGAGTCTCAGATAGCAGTCCTTGAGCTCAGGTTTGGGAGTCTCAGATAGCAGTCCTTGAGCTCAGAGAGGAAAAGAGAGAAAGATAAGGCGAGTGATTAGAGATTACCCGAGGCGACAAAGGCTTGTGGATGCGTTCGTAGTCCATGGAATCAGAAATGTGGAGAGGCAGAAAAGGAAGGAAGTGTGTGTGCCACCACTGCGCGTTATAGATGTGATTCAGAACCAACTCACTATAAATAACTGGATGGGAATTGCCTTTGGGAGGGGACCAATACTCGGTCGTTGGAAGTTACTGCAACGGGTGTTGCTAAGGTTTGGGATCGAGAAGCTTTAGTACTCTCTTCTTTCTTGACATCCAATGAATTCCCTCAAAATCATGTCTTGAGTATGGATTCCCATAAAAAAGAAGATTTTGGTACAAATGTAAGATAAATAGCGTGGGAAGAAATGATTCACTGCAGTAATTCTGCAGAGTTTATGCTGTCCTGTTCATCCCCTGAAGTCTCACAACACTACACGCAAAGAGAGCTCCCCTTCCTCGTGTGACGTCTGCAGAGAGACTGGTTTGCATGTACACGGCAACTACATCGGTGTTTGAAGTCTTGTCCTCCTTTTCCCAGCGTGACGCCTGGCGGACGTTGACTGGCACCGGGTCGAAGGAGAATAACTTCGCTCCTTCATGACGGCTTCCATACGCAAATTGAAGGCATCAAAAGCAGCGAGAGCGCAGGGGATTACGGAGGGACGATTCAGATGACAAGACCACACGCCAAACTCCCACCTTTTGAATCCAGAGATCTCGAAAACATTCTGGCTTGGGCATGGTCATCGCGTGGGACCTCACTTGTTCTTTGTTCAACCTTGCATCCCATGTCAGGGAAGAAAAAGGAGACTTGAATAGCTTTCGAGGCAATGCATCTTCTTCTTGTTCAGCATCTTGGACCGGGATGCGATTAATGAGAGAGGATGAACATTGGCTCTTCTTGGGGATGAATTGCATGCTCTGCGACCAAATTTCTGGTGTGTTTAGCTGATTAACCTTCATGATCATTGAACTTTCAGGTGCAGCTGTGACTAAAGATCGTGAAGTATATTTTTTATTGGTTTTACTAAGAGATTGAGAACGGCAAAAGAAATTGAGAAAGACATGAGAAAAATAGCACTTTTGTCGTGCTTAATAAATGCTGAAGAAGAGTCCAAACAGTCAAAGAACAAAAACATGTCGGTATTGTCAAATTGCTGCTATTGCTACTTGCATTAGTAACTCGCAAATATATGTTTGATGGATCAGAGAGAACCTGAAAATTAGAAAAGAAAGGCAATAAATGATAGAAAACAAAGAAACAAAATTTCTCATTTCAATATATTCTAGGAATTCGGAAATCAGGTGAATTTTTAATCATAGTTATCATAATTCCTATCAAGTCTGAGGTTATTGGTGGAATTAGTAGGTCAATTGATTAGGATGGTATGTTTTATTAAAATATTTTAAAATGCAAAATAATTTAAAATCTAAAAAATAAAAAAAGGATGATTTCTCTATAAAAGACTCATATTTTGGGTATTTCTCAATTGATAATCCTATTTTATTTTATGAATGAGGCTCTAAATATTAAGATCCTTTTTTTTTACCCTAAACAGTACCCTTAATTGAAAAATATCCAAACTATCTTTCAAAATTTTTTTTCATCTATTATAGTATTTTTAACATATTACAATATCGTGACCACCGTAACAAAAACACTATAAAGTCTACTTAAAAATACTGTAAATGAGTGTAATCAAAATACACTAGAAATAATTTGATATATCATAATAGGATTCAAATAAATATCTATAATAATTTAGAAATATAATCACCAAAATAGATATTAAAAATTAGATTGTTATAGTATTTTAAAAGGAGATTATAAAGCCTATTAGAAAATACTATAAATATCCAAATGAGTAACCTCAACCAAACCCTTATGTTTTTTTAATAGTGTTTATGGTATTTTTAGTATCTTAATAAAAATATGATAAACAATATTGAAAAACACTATAAACAACTAGTCAAAAGAAAACACTGTAACTGTTACAACTAATAAAGAAATAGATAGAAAATTTTGGTGGAAAATTTTTTCAATGATATTTTAGGTTTTTTGGATATCGATTGAGAAATATCTAAAATATTTTAAAAAAAAATCCAATAAAAAAAATTGGATAATTATAAATATAAAGGAAAAAAGAATAACTAGAAAGAGTGGTGGCCATGTTCCTTAGAAGATAAAGAGTACTACTGCACATGACAACAAGACATTGTTGAAACATGAAGCAGCCACCACTGAGCGATCTTGATTCCATCTCCTCGGTGAGGAAGACACAGTCACGGGAAGAGGACAAAGACCCGACGCACGTGGTTGGTCAAATCGGGAGAGCTCCGCCTCCGCCGTCCGGCCGCTTGCTTTCATGTGCTCCGGACACTGTTCACGGGGACTCCGATGGCCATGTCTGCCTTCTCTCCCTGCAGCTGCTGTGTGCAGGACGCATGCATACGCCACTCGCTCAGTCCTGTGGCCTCTGCTTCCGAGAAGGCAGATGTTGCAGTGCAAACACATTTTTGAGAACTAAACGTGTGGAAGTACTGATCGGAGGGTGGAGGTAGAGAGTTGGCGATGCCTCACCAACTTGTCCTCCAACCTACCAAGAACATGCCAAGAATTATTGATCGAGTATCCAGGCTTGAACATGGTGGATTCGCATGCACCCTACCGAACTGGTAGTGTGGATTGTGACCGAGAGCTCGTCGTGGTGCCACTTGATCACCACTTTGTTTGACTCCAGAAGGACTCGATGCTCTTCCAGCTTCCTGCAAGGTATTATTACGAGCTGCTTTCTTGGATGTTTGACCATTAGCTTCTCCACAGTAGGCTGAAGAGGGATCCCGACGTGAAGAATCTCCCCATATCCGCATGTGCTCCATAGTAATCAATCTGAGGCTGAACATAGTCTATATTTGTCCGTGAACTGACAGGAAGAAGAAGAAATTTATTTGATCTAATAATAGAGGGAATTGTAGGGAAGAAGGAAATGGAACTGAGTCAGCGTAGATGATGACAGCTCTGAATCTGCTATGAGATTTATCATTGAAGATTTCTCCTTCTTTTTAATGGAGTGGTTTTGGCAGGAGATAATGATAGTAAATCATCTGAAAATTATAAATCATAAATTATTGATTATATAACTTTGTTAAGTCAAAACTATTGTTATCTAGATTTCATTAAATCCTAATAAATTTATTTAATCTTGATATGAGACCAAATCGAGGTGTCGTCACACATAGTTTTCATTCCGAAAGCTGTTATATGCTAAAAGCAGCCATGTTCTCCTCCAACACATATGCCTCTGCTAGCTTCTGTTCATAAGCTTTGACAAACACAACATACATATATGATACGTCCGAACTAGTGTTCCTAACTTGCCTATGTACACACGATTGATGTACATAACATTTTATTTGTAATGTCCTTTCTTATTGTAATTATAGTAAACAATATTTTTTCTTAATTTTGACTTGCTTCTATCCATGTGTGAATCGCTTCTATCTTTGGACTTTGACTTTTCTTTATTCTCTGAGACAAGTACTTATGAATCAATATGAGATGTTGTTAAATTTTTTCTCTTCAACTCATTATTCAATGAGTTAGTTACTTGATTTATGATGAAATTATTGAGGAAAACTATTAGTGTCTCTTAACTTTTTGGTAATGAACTAAGAAGTAATAATACTTGCAACTCAGACATTTTCATAAAGGATATTTAGTTAGTCATACTCTGTATTTTATTCAAATGTTCAGCTATAAAAGTGTCCTCTTTATATTTTAAGATCACAAGTTTTCTAATCAAGAAAGACTTGTTTTCTCGTAGAAACCTTCCAACTTTTTTCAAAGAGAGTGCAGAATTTTTAATAGAAACATAATGAAAGATATTATCATTGAGCCATTATCGAATAAACCCAATTATTTTTTTATCTAACTTCTTCCCCTCATCATTTGTCATAGGACATCTTCTATATGCTTCAAGAGCACATTTTGGTGCTTGAAAGCAACAAGTTGATATGTTTTCACAACTATTTCTAAGTTATCATTAGATAAGTTAATGCCAGATGATGTAAGGCTAAAACTAACTGGATCAATGAGGGAAACCATGAACCTTATTACTTGGTGTCATAGGCAAAACTACATCCACCACTTTAAGATGAATAGCGTTATCATAAAATTATTACTAGGTTCGACCATAATCTTTAGTTGGATGATAACTCTTGCACCCCACTCTTTGTATGACATTCTTATAGTGGGATTCAGAGTCATAAGGCTTTTAATCCGATCAAATATTTGTCTTATGGGAAAATTTAAATTTTTATTGTTTATCTTGGTAAGAGAGTTCAAGGCTGAATATTCATCGTTGAGTTTTATAAACATTATTGAGATATCATGAAAGACTCTCTAATATAGTCTCTTAATTTCATAATTCTATAGTCCTTCACTAAGATCAAACAAATACTCTCTTTATTTTCATTCCTAAATATAAGAATCCTCTAATTGTGGGGGATTTTTGGCCTATCTCTATTTGAAATATTAATTATCAAAATTCTTACTAATATGATCAAATAGTTTACTTTCGTTAAGGATCGTACTATCTACGATAACATTTTAGTTGCTAAAAAATTGGCCCATTCCCAGGTTCTAATGGAAAAAAAATGTTCTTGTATCGATTAAAATTTGACTTTGAAAAGGCCTGACCATCTATCATGAAAGGCAACCGATGATGCCTTGATGGCCTTCAACTTTCTTCCTAAATTTATTGCTTTTATTATGGAATGTGTCTGATCCTCCTCTTTTGCTTGATGCATCAATGAGTATTAGACAAATGAATCCTCTCACTCCTTACCTATATATTTTGGTTGTTTAACTTCTTTCTCATTTATTAAATCATGCTATTGATTCTGATAACCTTATCTCTTTTCATTTAAAATATAAATTCAAGTTAACTCACTTAATATTCATATATTTTAGGGCTAAGTTTTCCAACATTATGAGGTCTCAACCAATCAAAAAATTAACTTTTGTAAATCTAAAATTTATTTTTTCAAACTTACCATTAAAGAAAGCAAAGTTGAGATTTATGTCTTCTTTAATATTAGAGAAGTAAGGTATCCTTTCAAATACTTGGGGACTATGATTTCCCTCTAGATAATGCCTCAAGAGCCTTTTGATTATTTCAATGACCAAATCTCTAACAAATTAAATATATGGAATAGAGCTCATCTTTCCCATGTAGGTGTAGGCAGAATCACTCACATGACCCCTTGCACTAGCTAAATATTTTTATTTTGTGAATGCCTAAGTCTATCATGAAGAGTATTGAAAGTGCTATTAGGAATTTTCTTTGGCATAAATATGATTCTACAAATGGAATTCACTTAGATTTCTTAGAAAACTATTGCTAAATCTAAATCGGAAGGGGATCTAGGCATTTATAACCTCAACATTACTAAGATTACTTTACAAGTGAAGCCCATGAGTTCTTCTTTTAAATTATGTTGCTAGTCTTCGGACTAATATTATTATGGTCTTGTAAACTTTTTATTAACTCCATAAATATTATGGGTTTCTCTCCTATAATTAAAAATAATAATGATTAATGGATTTATAATCTATCTATTTATAGGGAGAGGTGTGCCATTCTGGATAAGATAGAATGAAGGCCGGATAAGAATTGATGCTTCGATCCAGTGATGCTACAGTTCAGCTCGCTGGACAACAGTGGTTTCCTGTTCATGAACCTCTCTCTTCATTGGGTCTATTTATGTGCATGTTTATGTGCATTGGAAGTTCATAGCTTGTTCTTCTGTCCCTTCTTTAATAGCCAAACATTAAACTGACATGCATCTATAAATAAAATTAGCCTTTTTTTTAGCAGGACTTTGGTAACCTGCATGGTTGAAATTATTCTACTGGCGAAGGAATATTTTTGGATCACTTTCGTCCATGCAAGCCCTCAATGAATCAATCAATCGTAAAGCAACCACAATGGAGATGAATGATGCTATCACTCTTGTGCTAAGATCATAAAAGAGAAGGAATATTTGGCATTTTGCCCCGACATTTAATGATCCTTTTATTTCTATAAACAAAAATGGAGAGATGTGCATAGCTCGTCTCTGAAGTTGCAGCAGCTATAATCGAGTCTCGATTCGAGCACCTGTAAGTGTAACTAGGAAGAGAAAAGCTATACGTACCTCCTACCTGATCATTGTATGCAGGGAAAGCTTCCTTCTTCAGATTAGCACAGCTTTCGAGTCTGAAGCCAATCCTCCTGATCTCAAAAAGAGAGATGAGTGACTTGCCTTCGTTTTGGCAAATGGTGTCAATCTGTGCCGATGTTATCGAGCCATGAAACTAGCTGTTTCGACGGCGGTCTGGACCTAGGAGAGTCGCTCAGGCAAAGACCAGCAATCTGAAGCACCTTCATCAGCTGCAGGCTAAGCATTCTATCGAATACGTGTGGGTCAAACACCTCGGCCTCCCTCTTCTCCTTCTTCATCTGAAGCACCCACGAGATCAGCTCCCTCTCTCCCTTTGGTTTGCACATATCCACTGGCCTCTTCCCGGTGAGCAGCTCCAGCAGAACAACCCCAAAGCTGTAGACATCGCCCTTGAAAGTAGCAACCGAGGACTGGCCGTACTCGGGAGGAATGTAGCCTAGTGTCCCAACCAAGTCGGTCGTGACATGGGTGTCGGAGGGCAAGATGAGCCTCGCAAGCCCGAAATCAGCCAGATGAGCTTCGAAGTTGTCGTCGAGCAGGATGTTGCTGGACTTGATGTCGCGGTGGAGTATGTGCGGGTCGCATGATTGGTGCAGGTATGCCAATCCCCTTGCTGCTCCTTGAGCTATCCGAAGCCTCTTCTCCCAGTCCAGTATCGATCCCCCGTCGGGTTTCTCATGCAGCCAGAAATCCAAGCTCCCATTTTGCATGTAGGAGTAGATCAGAAGCCTGTCGCTGCCGATCTTGCAGTATCCTTGAAGCAGCACAAGGTTTCTGTGCTGAGCTCGAGAGAGCGTTTCTATCTCGGCCTGGAACTCCCTCTCCATCTGGAAGTAGTCGCCGGAAAGCCGCTTGATCGCCACCTTTCTCTCATCTGGTAGAGTTGCCTTGTACACCAGGCCGAAGCCTCCACACCCGATGATATTTGATTGGTCGAAGTGGTTGGTGGATTTCAAGATGTCGCCGATGGTTAGCTCACTGCTGTTCATGTTCCGAAACAGAAGCACCAATCTCGACCCCGCCGCTTCCGGATCCCCGTTCGAATCCGCCGCCACCCTCAAGCTGTCTTCCTGTCGACCATGGCGAGTCCTCGACACGAGAAAGTAAGCGAAAGCGACAAGGAACGATGTGCCGAGTCCAATGCCGGAGGCCAGTCCTATGATCACACCTCTGTTCCTTCGCCTTCGGCTAACACTCCGTGCAGAAACTCCATGTCCTCCCGCATCACATGGATTCAAGTGAAAGCCACAGAGACCGGGATTCCCCTCGAAATCAGAGCTCGAGAAGGTCGAGAACTGCCCTCCGACAGGGATCGGGCCGGACAAATTATTGTAGGCCACCCTGAAACTTGACAGAAAGTTGAGCTTGTTGAGCGAGGAAGGAATGCTTCCGGTGAGATCATTGCGCGACAAATCCAGAGTCTCCAAGCTCGCCATCCCCGACAACTCCTCCGGAATCGTCCCTGATAGCCTGTTCCTGCTGAGATCCAAAGCAAGTAACCTTTTGAGGTTCCCGAACCCGGGCAAGATTGGCCCAACAAGCCTGTTCTGGCACAGGATCAAAGATGGTGGGAAGCTGCTGACTTGATTGTACTGCAAACCCTTCCCGCTAATGTTCTTTCTGACGAAGAAAGGGAAGTCCTCTGTTGGAGGTCCAGGCTGCGAGGCGCTGCCAGAGATCAGGCCCTTCATCTGCGCCAAGCTATCGGGAATCTCTCCACCCAGCGAATTGTTCGACAGGTCCAGATAGAAAAGATGATCAAGATGTCCTATCCATTCAGGAATGATCCCTTCCAAATGATTCCATGACAAGTCCAGCACATTGAGCTTGGTGAAACCAGACAACCATGGTGGTATCGATCCGGAAAGGCCGCAGTTTGCGATAGCAAGAAGCTGGATGTTGGGAAACCCCCGAATCCCATCCGTGGGAATCCTCTCGCTGTCCTGGAAGTTCCTGGTGAGTACCAAACCGGTGAGGCTTTGGATTTCCTGCAGGATCGTCAATGCAGAAGATATGTTGGACAAGCTGTTGTTGGAGAGTGAGAGGTAGGATAGCGAAGTGAGCTTCTTGAAGCTGACTGGAATTTCGCCGACGAGATTGTTCCTGGCGAGATTCAAAGTCTTCAGCTCCACACAATCAGAAAGATCAGAAGGAACAGAGCCGGCGAACAGATTCGAGCCGAGATCGAGTGAGCCGAGATGATTCATGGCCGTGCAATTCAGAGTGATCTCACCGATCAGCGAATTGTTCTTCAGGTTGAGCGTTCTAAGTGGCGACAAGTTCGACAGGGAGTAAGGAAGATGACCACTGAAACTGTTTGACTGAAGAGAGAAATACTCGAGCTTTCTCAATCTACTGAAGATGTTGGGGATCCTTCCTGAGAACCAATTGAACGAGAGGTCCAGTAGCTCAAGGTTAGAGAGATTACCTATTCTTGAGCTCAGTGAACCAGAGAGCTGGTTCTCCTGTAAGTGTAACCTCCTCAAAAATGGCAGCTTGAACAAATCTTCCGGCAAAGTCCCAGACACAGCATTGATATCAATGGAGAGCTCTTCAAGGGAAGCACAGTTACCGAAGCCGAGAGGAAATTCACCAGAGAAAAAGTTCATGGAGAACCGAAGGACTTGGATTCCAGCTGAAGAATTGCAGATGGTAGTGTCAATGGTGCCAGAGAACTCATTGAAGCTGATATCGAACACCACCATCTTCGTCAACCCAGCAAGATTCGGATGAGCGCCACCGAAAGCATTGTAAGAGACGTTGAAGAACTCGATCGAGGGAAGGTGCAAGTCCGCCGGAATCGATCCGGAAATCTTGTTCACGCTGAGATCAAGGCGCTTCAATCGGCTGAGGTTAAACAGCCCTGATGGAACAGTGCCATGAAGAACATTAGAAGAGAGGTTAAGCCATGAGAGGTGATCCAACTCTGCCAAGGAATCAGACAGGGATCCCTTCAGGCTCTTGTTCTGGAGATCCAACCCAATCACCCTCCGTCCCGAGTCGAAGAAATCCCCGCAAGAAACGCCGTCCCAGCTGCAGCAATCGGAAGAAGAGGCATCGATGCTCCAACCTATCGCCTCTGATTTCAGACCCCTGTAGAAGCCCCGCAGGGCATTCAGGTCGCCGGAGTTGCAGCTCTGGTTCTGGGAATTGGTGAGCTCAGCTCGGAATAAGATGAAGAAGCACAAAAGCACTAATCTTTGCATCAAAACACAGACAAACTCGTCTCCTCCCCTCCTCATAACAGCTGATGGCTAGAGCCAGAGCTTGTCAAAGCAAGAATCCTGCCATAAAAGCAATAGTAGTAGACATCCAGCAGAAGAAGAACAGAAAACATCAAGAGATTGGTGAAGGAGACACTGTTATCCTTGAAGCAACGCTTAGGACTTTTAGCCAGGCTCAGACACTTTTACCAATTGACATCCACAAAACTCCACCATCCATCTTACTTCATCTCAATCTGGGAAGCACAGAGCAGACAACAGAAGATAGAGAGAGAAAGAGGGATGGTTGGTTTTGACTCCTCCTCTATCATCTATTCAACCCTTTGGCTGTCCTTCCACCAGCTTTCCATTTTTCCACCATATTTAATACTTCCGATCGAAATGTTCAACCCTTCCACTTGGTCCAAAATTGGCGCGAGTGGGCAGCCATAAAGGTAAAGAACGTTAAGCCGTGGAGACGGGCACTTGGCGGTGATCGCCGAGCGGCGAGATGGTTGCATAAAAGGTCAACGGTCAAAGGGTCGGTGGCCCGACACGTGCGGCGCTGCCTTTTTTCTTTTTTTCTTTGGCGGCTCGCCTAATTCCGGACTTGCAACGACGGCGGTGACCGACCGCACAGCTCAACCCCCACTGTTTCGATTCGCCTTTATCCATCCACCCCTTTTAGTTATCATGTTCCTACGCGAAGCTGACAACGGAGTGGGACGGAGCACGGGTTCTCTGCGCTGGGAGAGTTGACCATTAGGATGGTCCGGAGGAACATGTTATGACCCCGTCGATGCGTAATGGTTCGTTTGGTGGTTTTGACTTTGCTTTTCCTGCAGTGGGTGTCGGTCATATTGCTAATTTGATGATAACCTAAGTTCTAATCATTAAATTCATCTTAAGATTAAATTCGTCTACCTCACTTTTTAAAGACACACGTGCTCTATTAGTTTTCTATGTAATAGTCTTATATAAACTGTAAAGTTTGACTTCAGTTATATACCAAACATCAAATCTACCCACCGAAAAACTACAACTGAATTCGGTACAAAACCGGTCTTGTATTGTTCGTATGGATGTAAATTTACGCAATCAATGCGATGACGACGACATGATGGACCAGTGTTTGTAAGTGGACCCATTATTTGGATTTTATTTTTGGGGAAAAACATCACAATTATCTTTGTTGGGAGAGTACTTAAGAAGGTTAAGGATTAGATTAAGAAGAGATTAGAGATAAAGGTGTGTGTGCTCAATAGGTTACGAGGCATCTTAGTTAGTTTCCTTTTCGTTTCTTTTGTTTGTTAGCAAAAGAATAAAAAGGAGGATTATTCTTTTAATTCATCACTCAAATGGATTGATCAACATCGAATTAATTTAATTCTCTTGCGTGAACACATCTCTTTGATGTCACAATAAAAGGAGGATTATTCTTTTAATTCAAGCAACATGTATATGGCGATAGGTGGGTAGGTTAACGTTGAAGGAAACCTATGTCTTTGATCTAATCCTCTTCCTAATCATTCACATTGCCTCAATTAATCCATCGTATTATATTAGGATCAGTAAACTCGACAAGTGTGCCGGTTTGATGACACTACCAATAAATTAATATGGGTCACTAGAAATTTTATGTTCCATATGAGGTTTGTAGGAGGTGGTAAGTGTGTATCCTCCAAATAAATATTTTTTTATAAGACAATATATATATATATATATATATATGTAAAATCTCTCTTCTTAAAAGTATGTGTAATAATTGAATCATGGTAATATTATAAATTAGATGAACCATTGGTCATATTATAATTTAGATTACCTTTTTTATGCATAGGCTGATGTAATTTGGATTGACATTGTGAGTAGGCATTTTATTTTAAGTTGAATTCTTGGTTTCAAGATGAATTTTTTTTTTATTTCATTTATAAATTAGTCTGGATTTAATTAGTGTCAATAAATTTAATTAATATAATTTTTTTTATATTTTATACAAGTAATTTTTGACAGTAATGTATGAGTATTAAGTTGAAGTGTAATCCACAAAATCATTCCATAAATTTTGTTGCTTAGTTGAGAAAGGTTGAATGAAACTGTTGCACTTCATTATTCCATCCAAAGAAGCTGAGGGATCAGCAGATGATACAAAACTCCCACCTCATTTTGACCATCTTTCTAATTCTCTCTCTAATCGTCTTTTCTGAATGGAAGGAAGTCATGATGCTGAAGGGGGAAGGCCAATGAAATGGACTCACATTGCTTTGAAGCAAAGCAAGATATTCCCCCAAATCAAACCAAATCTCTTTCTTCTGCTATGACTTTTAGGATGTTTCTGGCTCTAGTCAAAGGGAGGAGGAACCTGCAGTGCAGTCATCGGCAAAAGCTTTGCTTGCAAGCTGACAGTGGTCACTGTTCTCGGACAGGAACCGATATCAAACACATGGGGAGAAAAAGGATGGAAGAGAAGGACAGCCTCTTTGCATAGCCATTGATAGAATCATGTGGGGAGGGTTCTGTGTTCGTCACTGCTTTCAGTGTTATCTGATGCATGGCAAAGGCCTTCTTTCCACTCTGTAATCGGTGATGAACTTGAGGCAAACACTGCATGGAGCACCAACAAGTAGTCTGATTGATCATTAATGGTGACCAGAGGGCAGAATGGCATGTGGTGGTGGTGGTGGTGGTGGTGGTGGTGGAGGAGGATGGACTGCGTGCTGCTGAGACCTGTAATCACTACCACATTGAAAAGGTTTGAGGATATGATTAACAAAACTAGTTGGGTTCCCATAGGATCAATTGCCAAAGAACATTTTGGTGGCACTTGATGAGTGTCAACTGATGGAGATAGTTTATATTATCATGCTCTGGTGAGGAACACCTGGAGAGAAGTTGCCTCAAGGAGGGTAATTTAAAAGGCTTTGAAGCTTCATCTCGTGGTTGCTTTGATTTGCTTTCCTATGGGCAGACCTGAAAAGCTCAGTTTCTCCAATGGTGAAGCGCAGGTCTTATCCTGCTAGTGGATTCCTTGCTTTGTCTGAGTGGAAGCTGTCATGTCTTGTTGGGATAGATTAGTATGGCCATGGAAGTCTATTGGCTGAGGCAAGGCAATGGCTGATCAGGGAAATCATTGTTTGTATATGTCCATGGAAGTTCATTGGCTGAGCCAAGGCAATGGCTGGTCAGGGAAATCATTGCTCGGTAGTGTTTGGATGGCCAATGGATTTGAGTGCTGTGAACTGTGCCATGCAGTGGGAAGGTCATGGAGTAGCACTCAGATGTGTATGTCTGCCATTTCCTGAGATTAGCTGTGATGTTGAGTCACAATTCCACATCAGTTGATAGCAAATTCCAGCACTTTGTTGACTCCTCAAAGAGTGTCAGATGTCCAATAGACCTCCTGCTGAGCTCATGCTGTGAGATAAAAGTTCATGATTTGTCAGAGAAAGAGAGAGAGAAAGTACAGGTAGGTGTTCTGAAAGTAGAATTCAGGTGACTCAGAAATAGAAGAAAACCAGAGAAATAAACCCTCAGAAAAGGAAGGAAAGCTCATGCATCAGCATCACTACTTCCTTCTTACACTCACAATGGATCTCTATCACAAAACATTTATCATTCAGACTTCAAGACTTCAGTAAAACATAACACTGTCATATCCAGTAGAGAACAATAACAAATATCCAGTAGCATTTGCAACTCAAGCAAAAGAAACAAATATATCTTGCCCACTGTTACTATCTGGATTGTTGATCACAATGTTCATGTTGATGAGAACAACAACAGCACAAAGTAATCAGAAGGGCCAGAATGTTCTCTGTGAATACAGGTGTATATTAATACAAATATACAGTTAGCTGCAAGTACTACAAAGGCATTAAACAGACTAGATCTTGGCACATACTATGAATGTGGAACGCATTTTTGGAAAAGTAAATGAAAATCTATCCTTGACAAATTTTAGGAAAACAATCCCATGATAATTTCCATTGTGTTGCTTGGATCATACACATCATATGTCTATAGGTCTAATGTGCATCTTCGGCCCACTACTAAAACCTATGAAAGAAATTCTGCTCACATTTGTCACAGATAAACTTCTAAACAGGATGTTTGACGTAATGCTTATATATGTCCGTGTCTTTTGGTATGTTCATGCTCTGCACAGCATGTAGAGGGACAGCCGAAGACTTAATAGTCTCATTTTAGTTAGGTTGGTGGTCGCTTTAGGCTTGTAAATAAAGATTGTATCATGTGGACACGTGTAAGAGATTTTCGGTATATAGTGGATCATTTTACCTTTTATTGTGCAACTGTTCAGAGCTTGTAAAATCTATTTGTAATTTGTATTGTTTATGAAGTGTTTTAAAAAATGTTTACTTGTGGATCCCGAATGAGACGTTTTCTCTAATCCGTTCTCTCTTTTGTGGGTCCTAAGGGACATGGGAGGCTTCGGGGAGACTGACATTTACGGATGGACACGCAAGGGTACCGCACGACTTAGGCAAAACCAGCTAAGTCCGTGACACACTGTCAGAACTTCTAATTTTAAACATCACAAACATGGAATTTTTATAGACATAAACCATTCTCAAGATAATCCTGCATGTCAAAGGATGCCGTATAGTACCATTCCCAATCCAACAGATAACCTGGAAATATTCGAACAGCAAAGCCTATCTACATTGGACTGCCAATTATATATGGCAAGCAAAAAAACCAGCTAGATTAACTCACAGATATGTTCCATGTTATCAATCATTCCAAGCACACTGCCTTGAGGAAAAGAAAAATGTCCAACAGATCAAAGCCTTAAAGCAAGATAATACTCTCACTGACTTGCCAACATTTCACAGCAGTGAATCGGCACAGCATCTAGACCAAATTCGCTATGCAGGTACTCATTATCACTAATTGCTCATATGCACAGAAATAGTATCTTTCATGTGAAAGATATTCTGCCTCCTGGTCCAGATATTCTCATTCTCAACACCTAGTATAAAGTCTGGCCTTCGATGTGTCAACTGTGATCATCTGGACAGAACACCAATGGGCAAGCTAGCTGTCAACTAAAGCTTTGTCGCCAATATATTGCAAGTGTGAAATATATAAGAATCATTGTCCCCATGCTAGACCTGTGAACGACAGGCAAACATTAGCAATCTTTCACCATCTCTCAGAAAAATGTATGGCTTAGGAGTCAACAATTGATACACCAGTTCATACATTACATAATCTAATGTTTTAAAGTGTCAGCCTTTAGAGATGCTCTTTAGCGTTATCAATTGATACACTTTCACCATCTCTCAGAAAAATGTATGGCTTAGGAGTCAACAATTGATACACCAGTTCATATATTACACAATCTAATGTTTTAAAGTGTCAGCCTCTAGAGGTACCCTTTAGTGTTATCAATTGATACACTAAAGATACAATCTGATGTTTTAGAATGTATGAATTAGGAGTCAACAATTGATACAGCATATAATACACAATCTAATGTTTTAAACTTTGATCCATATGAAAACTAATTCGGGGTTGTCAGCAGCTTTATCATGGAAATGTATAAAAAACCAGTTTTCTATACAGAAGTTTCTGTTACTTATCTTGAAAAGCAGCCAAACAAGTATCACAAAACTGTGTTTAGTGTTCTGTGCACCTATTTTGATGAAGCCTAATCACCATACAAGTCCATGAATAATGGCAGGTGTTAACTTGGACCACATTAGTTGAAGACAGCTTTAGCAACATGGACCAAGGGATGACTTAGACGAGTGTTCTCACGGGACACTGAGGGAACAACTAATCCCTTACAAAAGTAACTTAATATAAGTTGTCTATGTGAAGAAAAAGAAGCCACATTTTATTCATAAGGCAAACATCTGGAACTAGATTATTATTACCAAAATTGTACAATGATAAAGGTGTAATTATATCTAAAACAATACCAAACTATTGAACTGAGAGATACATTCAGTAAGACACGAAGGTTTGTATGTGTTCATCCAGTATATTGAGAGCCTAGAAGCCTCGTGGAACCTTGTTTTTGTCTGATCAAAGTCAATCATGAGGTTTGGAATCAAGACGACTTCCCCATTGGGCACTATCTATGTTCAAAATCCGAGAAATAAAGATTATATATTTTGAAACTTTATAATATATACATCAACTAGGCAAAATAATTAAGCAAAATCTGAACAACAAGAAACATATATTGAATTGATTACTAATACAAAAAATAAAACATGATGGACCTTACAAACACCTATCAAGATTTAGATCAAGATCAATTGTTTGGATCATTAAGTTGACATGGCCTGAATCACTTTTTGATCCAAAATTCTCTCTAACACCATTCATTTGTGTTCGTTTGATTATTGCAAAAATGTCCCCCAAAACCTTATCATCAAATAAATTTTGCTTTCTAAAATTTTTCGACATCAAAGTTCATGCAAAGAGCACTGATCCTGATTTTTGGAGTCCTGGCAACAGAAGACAATGCACTATTCTAGCATCAATTGCCTTGGGCAAAGAAAATATGTATCCATGTTCATCTTCAGATGAAACACATTCTGTCCATATGTGCAGCATGGATAATCTTAGTAAAGAAGAAACCCCTGTTAGGTTGGTTTGCAATTGTCTGAGTGACAGCCAGCCTATCTGCTTTCATGAATCAGAAAATTAGCAGTGTTATGACCCAAAAGTCAGGACCACTGTGTGTCAGTCGGATGAAATTTCATACTTATTATTCCTCGTCTCACTTAATAAAGTTGCAGCAATAGGGACCATCATAAGTGAGGTGCTTCTTGTACTGAAGGCTGCCAGGTACAAGGCCTGTCCTATATGTTTATTGCCCTATTATACAAACATCTCAGTTACCCTTAAATTAGCCAAAATCATTTTCATTTGTGACATTTCTGCATTATCAGATGCTGGAGTGGTGCAAGGCATATGAATGATGGATGGAGCTGTATCTATGACAATATTTTAACAAGAGAAGCTTAAATATTGGCCGTTGAAATTCACTCTATATATCTCTTTCCAGTTTCCAGAAGTGATCTGTTTTGTGAAGGATGGAAAATGGAACAAAATTTGCGAATTACATTGGGATTTAGCTGCTGTTTGTTCAGTTACAGTGGTTCATCCAGATATAACCACGTGGCTAAAAAAGTCAAACTACTTATACAAGACATATAAACTCCATAGAGTTAGCAAGGTTTTGTTTGCTGCATTGTACAAAGTTTGAAATCACTCATCATGTCGAGAGAGCATGGATTGAATAGTCGAGATAAAGGCCAATGATACTTACAAAGATGCCAAAAGGAGAAGGATTCTCCTGGGGTTGATGGCTGTCAAATGATTGAACTTCCTAAGCCTTCCATCTCCAGCATCTGAAATAGAAGCATTCGCTGAAGTAGGTACAATTATAAGAGTTTTATTTGGCACTGAGGACTGCTTAAACTGCTCCAGATGATAGCACACCACTGCAGTGGAGGAAACAGAGTTTCACTTTTTAAGATCTAGTTATTGCGGCATGAAGTTGATCATTGCTTTTAGAATGAGCCACACCAGCAAATTTGAGATCAAAAGGTACAGAAAACACCACAGAATCATTTTTAGCAGATAAGGACAACAAACTTATACATTACATATGTTTTGAATGTTACCAGGAATCATGCGATTTGATGCTTCTTGCAGAAAAGCCAGCAAGGTTTCTTTTGAGAAATATTGGAAAGGATCAAATCTAACATCACATGCAGTGGAATGTTTTCAAGTACTAACTTGCTGCAACTTCTCTTGTCTTTTGCATCTTTTTATGAAATATAATATGCAGAGACAAAGCTAAAGCATGAACCAACTCACTTTTCATGCTAATTGCATGTGCCCGGTCTCCTGATCTAAATGTTCTAAATGCTGGGTTTCAGCGGTCCACACACTCCATACCTTTAGTAATCTTTTTGGTTGTCTCATCTGCATCTTGCTCCTCACCATTCCGCCTCTCCATACGGGATGATCCTTTACGAGATAAAGCTTTCTGTTATAGAAAAAAAAAACAAAAACTGTATGAAATTCCTTAAACGAACAACAATTGAGTACCGATGTGTAGAAATGGGATGTTATGAGGCAGTTCCAAAACCAATCCATGATAATTGCATTAGGCCTTACGACTACTTACAGTCATCTTTGGGCTTCCAGAGCACTTGTCAGATGACTGTGTGAGGCTCTCGATATCTAATACTATGTTTCCTGCTCTATCCACGGAGGTAACTTCACCCTGCGACAAATTACATTGAAAAGCAATTGTAAGAAAGTACTAATAGATACTACCACGCAAGAAGATGAAACATTATGCATACTCACATTATCCTGTGTCCCTGGATAAATGGGCCATATATGAAAAGAATATATACATTTTGTGCAGAAAATCCAAACAATTGTTAAGAATGAACACCTACAATGAACAGGTAGTCGATTTATGATGCCATATTGGAAAGTTGATGCTTCATAAATTCTATGATACTACAAGAGGAACAGAATGTAAACTTTATGTACACTTATGTTGACATTGTTTTGCAGTATAGACTATTCCTCTCCTAAATTGCACAGGTCATTACAAAATTATCGCAGTTCTTTGAGAGTGACATCTCAACATTTTCCAAGAAGGGTTCCTCTCATAATTATGTTATACTTTAGCCATACAATGCACCTAGAGACTGCTCTATGACACAGAACTTGTGAAAGCTTGCTTGCTAATCCTCTAGTTATCGGCACAAGTCAAAAAATTTTATATGCATTCCCGTTAGATCTTCACCAAGAACTATTAATTTCCAGATGAGATTATCACTAGAACCAGGCAAACAAAGTGCCTCATTTCCTTTTCAGAATGAAAAATGGTTGAAACATAAGGATCAAAAGATGAAAATTTCAACCTGCATTGCTATCCCCTCCATTTCAGATGCTATCGATTACCCCCCACAGGAACAGCCAACACCAACTCACACTGCAGAGCCTGCTTCATCAAAAGGTTCACAGCAATCATCCAAAACTTGAAGATAAATTATCAGAAAGGAATCGTTACATTAAATTCTAATGCTCTGCAACGAACAGAACTATTGCCTAACAATTAATCTACTTATATGAATCATTGGAACGACACACCGAAAATGCACTACTGATCAGTTGGATAAAAACTCGAATGCATCAGAACTAAAATTTAAAGCATTCGATGCATCTAAATGTCTAGAAAATTCTGGGTAAAGACACTTGAAAGAGAAAGGATACCTGGGATGAAGATATTATTACTAATGCAAGCTATTGTGTTTATTCATGCGAGCACTGAAAATCTCCGGCCTGCAAAACCCCAAATTTGGCTTCACAACCCTGAAGAATCAACCCTTTTACTGCAAGACAATTACTCGAAGCTCTCTTTCTTTGATCCTTTAAAGAAGAAATTTATATTCAAGTAAAAGAATTAAACAGACAAGACGATCAAAAGACTTCCTTTTCTCTAACAACTCTCCTCTAACAAAAAGATCAACGTAGTTATTTAGTGGAACCTTATAATGCCCTTCCAATGGAAGCACAGATTCTAAAGAAACAAGGAACAAGAAATCGGAAGATGATACAAGAGATCAAAAACCATTTTTTTTTCCTCCCCTGACAGCAACATTATACACAAGAATCACACAAGGAAAGGTTCGAACCGAGAGGCAAGGCAGAAGATGAGAAGTAGCCGTTGGAAAGAGACGGCTCTCTCCCCTTTAATTTGGGTGTGACCGAGTAACAAATGCGAGATGACTTCTCTCTTGTTGGCATCAAAAGCCTCCGTTCCTCCTCAGGAAAAGAGTCAGATGTGTCAGGCGTGATCAGATGAACAGAGCAACAGCTATATGTCAGTGCGCTCTCTCTCTCTCTCTCTCTCGCTCTCCTTTTTTTTTGTGCACTCATCATATATAATAAGAATGATGAAGAGTAGAGGGACACCGCACTGCTTGTCTCCAACAGGAGTCATACTCAAATGCTGATGCCATGAAAGTGGAGGGGTAGATTTACTGAAGTTAAAAAGATGATAAAGACTAAACAAATCACACGAAGAAGTAATGCATGAAAAGAACAGGGAAGGCAAAGGACAATAATAAAAAGAAAGAGTAGTCACCTTCACCAACCAACAACAGCAAACTGTTCATTAGGACAAGTAATATATTCACTTTGACACCTCTAATTTCTGTCATGATCTGGTAAATAGAAATATGAAGATCTGAATTGGGTGTTTGTAAGATCAGAAACCTTAGAATTTGAAAGCTTATTAGGGAAAGGAATGGTGATTAAGAGGACAAAATTGAATTGACTTCAAAAGAAACAGTAAACTGAATTGATTTGAAATGAGTTGTTTATTTATTCAATCAAGAGTATTATTGCTTGGATTGTTTCCAAATCTTGTCTTTTTATGTACACTGACTGAATAATTAGAAACCTCATCATTTTTGGTACTTCATAATAAGAACACATGTGATGGTACGCAATTTTATTCCCAATGCTACTGAATTGTCATAACTTTTCCAAATTGCTTTTGACTCGTTAGGGTCAAATTCTAATCCACCATGGTAACTTCTAATAAAAGAATTACGCTGCATAAAAAGAGAAATTTTTTTGTACAGCTGATGCTCTGGTGCTACAAAATCATGCTCCCGTGACTAATTACTTATAAGGCCTCACAAGATTAGACTGATTGATGACGAAAGGCGAATTGGATGGCGGAAGTGGAAGAAGACGACGACAAGAGCAGATAAAATAATTACTTTTAGATGACGACCGACACCCGACACGTCATCCGACAAAAGCTACCGTAGCGGCGTCACCTATATCACGGTCGTCTTGATTCCGTCACTCTCCGGTGACGTTTAAGACGACTCGGGACGTTATAGTTCTACAGCGGAAAACGGGGTGGGAAAAGTTCAAAGGTGGAGTAGGTTCCCGAGGAAGGTGACGGGACCGCTGAGGGTTCACGTGTCCACCGTATGATGGGACCCCGTGTCGCCAGGCCAAAAGAGAAGCGACCGGACGGTCCAGCTTCGGCGGGACCCGCTGCGTCAGATCTGCGCCAAGAGTTGTGGGGCCCATCGGACCAGGGAGTGGCCATAGGAGCAAAGGGCTGGTTGGAGCCGTCTGATCTCCATCCGACGGGGTGTCGTGCTCGCAGGGGCGATTCCGCGGCGACATGTGGGGAGTACGGTGGTGTGATCTTCCGGCGTGCCGTGTCAGTGATGAGCTGATGAAAGATGCGAGCAGCGGTCGGTTCGACGTACTCCGTAGAGGGGATGCCAATTCTGTGGGCGAGACTTCCCTCGACGGACAAGACCTGATGGCGTGGAGGAGAGGGCTCGTTGGAGCAATCCGATCTCCATCTGATGAGTTGTAGTGGAAGATATGGATCGTGATCAGTCGAGGGACCCTGGTTCTGGTAAACGAAACGAAAGGGGTAAGAGATGGGGACTCAAAAGGGCGAGAGAGAAGGACGACCCTGACGCTTGTGGGCTTGCTTTGGCTTGGCCTCCCTTCCGTCGACTCCACGAGGAGAGTTGCTCATGGAAACCTCGGGCATTTAAGCATTCTAGAAGATGAGATTCTAGTACAGAACTATCAGCGGTCAATGAGTAGTGATATGTTCTGTTTTTGAACATGCATTTCACCATCACCATGAAAAGTGAAAAAGCTTTGATGATCTCACTAATCCCCACAGAATGAGCAATCAAATATCATCCAGCAATCAAGGAAAGCCAAAATATAGACCATTACATTGATACAAGTTGATGAAGACCTGTCCCAACATTACTGTGTTTTCTAAGCAAACTGCAAATCTTCATACAACTCGTTACCTCGGCTGAGAACATCGCAAGCATGCAAAAGGAACAAAGATTACGACCTCTGACAAGAGTCTTCCTAGTTAGAATAGGCTGGAGGAGTTGACTTATGGTACTATCACCGAATCACAACTGATAAGTAACGATGATCAAGAAAACTGAGAGAAAAAGACTAGAGTTGCCCTCGAGTATTGCGATTATGAAGCTTGTTTTTCCTCTGCAGCCTCTTCAAATGTCTCTCCAGGCACCAGCTCTGGGACATCATCATCATCTTCTTCACCCGTAGCAGCAGAAGCAGCTGGTGCTTGTTTCTGGAACTGTTCTGCAAGCTTCCTCAAGTTCTCTAAATTATCGGGGCCTAAGCAAAGTAATGATTGAGTAAATAGTGGCTCACAAATATAAATTTGCTAGAAATTCATTCTGTTCAAAAGCTACTCTTCTTAGATATACAACAATGAAGTGGGCATCTTGCTGTAGCAAGTGACCCAATGAGACATCTTGCATCTAAAATGCTAAG